AAATTTATATGAAATTAATTATAAATTCTATAATTAATAAAATTTAACATGTACCCTTAATAATAAGTTAGACGAAACTCTTTTAACAAATACTAAATTGAATCCAATTATTTTAATTTGAAACTTTAAATTTAGAAATTCTTTTGCGGAGCATTAAAACTCTGTACTCTTTTTCAAGTAGAGAAAATTGAGCACCAAAGCAAAGTGAAATACATTTATGCCTTTTTTTCCTATCAAAAGCAACTCTAATAAATGCTCAATCATGCCTCAAAAGCAACCTGAATTAATAACATCAAGTGCATGATGCTTTATAAAGTCAAGTGCATGACGCTTTAATTGGGTAAGTTAATGATACTTTCTACGAATTTTAGCTTATTACTTCATTCTCAATTATTAATATCATATTTTTTATTTTAATTAATTATTATATTTTTTAATTTATCAAAAAATATAAAATATAAATATTTTTAAAAAATAATATAAAAATATAATAAATAATTATATTTAAAATATATAATATTAATTATTTAAAATGTGATAATAACCCCTATGATGTTTAGCATAAAATCTCTCCTCTCTTGCCCCGGCAGTTAGCTTTCTCTTACTCCCTCTTTTCCCCGTAAACTGTTGGTTGGCACGTTCCCTTTATCCCAATGCGATTACTGAGCATGAAGAATTACAATTTTACTTGTGTTTTACAGTTAGTGTATATAAAAGCTCTACATTTTAAAATATGTGATATAATATATTTGTAGTTTGGGATTAGACATATATAAAGATGTGACATTTTAAAATATGCACATACTATATATTTATAACAACTTAAGTTTATATGAAATATCTAAAATACCCTTACTTTCTTCTTCTTCTTTTTTTTTCATTCTTTTAAGTTAAGGGCATTTTAAACATTTAAAAAAATTTCAAGTAGTCATTTACACTCAATGCAAACTTTAGATGTTTATGTGTATATTTTGAAACTTCAGATCTTTGTGTGCATATATTCACACCACATATATGTCATACATATTTCAACACCTTAAATTTTTATAGATATTTATTTTAAATTATAAGTAATTAAATTACAATTTCTCATGTAAACTTTAGATTTTCTCCATTTGAATTTCTCTTTCTTTTATGAGAATCCTCTCTAATGAGAGTATCTGCCTAAAGAATTATATGCCCTATGAAGCTGATAAATATTATTTATTTATATGCAAATTTTAAGTTATATAATTGTCCTTACATTACACATTAGATCAAATCATGTTCGTTGTGGAGATAATCAATTATAAAAAAAATTATACAGAGTTATTAGAAAGTGTTTTTTAGTATGTATTATATTTTTTGTATAATCTAAGTACTAAAATTATCAAAATACTTTAAATAAAAAGATCTCCATGCTTATTCATTAATAATATTTTAATAATTTCAATACTTAATCTATACAATCCATACTAAAAAAACACTTTTCTCAAGAGTTATATATTACTCTATGAAAAGAGTAAGGATCATCAATTGGAGGCTGTGGATATATTTTGGTTGGTTCTTTACTAAGGTTTAATTATATATATTTTATTTGTGAGTTTTTAACTTTTTAAAGTTGTTTGAATTAGAGTATCCTTTATATACCATATAATAAAAATTTTATATTTGATTGATAAAAAATGGTCGGAGGCTTTGGGTTGATTGATTATCTTTTGGCGATGAATCGGCCGGCCAAGAGAGAATACCAGAATACTACGGTTATGTGCCTCGTACATAGACAAGCTTGAAGAGCTTGCCGAAGAGCAGGCATGAAAGATAAATGTGGAGGAAGGAAAGATACCAAAGGAAGGGTTTGACTGAAAGAATCGATCTCTTGATTGAATTTTGAATGGTGTAAAATGGGTTGAGTACCCTTGTACTTATTTCATTAATAAAAATTCCTTTGCTGTTCAAAAAAAAAAAGCTTGAAGAGCTTGCCGAAGAAGTCACCGATGATTTGGAAAAGAAAAGGAAGGGACATGTCGGAGAGAAAGTTGTGGTAATGAAACTGAGAGAAGAACAGGAGGGAAGTGCATTTTTTGGTTCCAAAAGTCGGTGTGCATCGTATGCTTGATGGTCGACTCTGTTTTCCGCAGCAAGTCTGCCAGAGGTAAGCACTTTTCTTTTAGTGCAGATTTGGTTAGATTTTATTAGAAAATTTTTTATTAAGAAAATAGTTAAAAAATATTATACATAAACTTGTTAAGTTTTGTCGAAAAATTATTAAATGGAACAAATATAGGAAAAGTTATAGAAAAACCTTTTTCTTTCAAAATATGTAAAAAAAAAAAAAAAAACCTTTACATGTTGGAAA